GACACACTTAGTAAAGTTTCCACCCGATGATTAGCATCGATGTACGCTACGCGTGGGACCATATTCAAGTGGACTACATCCCTATGCCACTGGAGTCCAGACGCAAGAACAATTATATTCTTCACGTCTTGGACATCGCCACAGGCTATTCTATCCTTCGAGCCACACCGGACAAGACAAAGGAAACCACGACACAGACACTCATAGAGATTTTTGGCTAACATGGCTTCCCTCGTAAAATCCAAACAGACATGGGGAATGAGTTCACTAACAAGATAGTGGAGCTACTGGTGCAAGAAGTGGGGATGCTACATAAGGTGTCTCCACCATATCGACCCCAAGTGCTGGGCGCGGCGGAACGACGTCATAAGGAGATTACACGTTCTATTCGACAATGCTGTGAGGCAGTTCCCCTTCGATGGGACGAACGCCTTCCGTTTACGATGCTATACCAGAACCTTCGGATATCCCGCCGCCATAAAAGTGCACCGTTTAGCGTGTACTTTGGCCGCCGCCATGTTCCGTTCGCCGATTTCACGGACGAGTTACCGGATTCTCAGCCGATGACGAATGACACCTGGGCACAACGATTAGACCAGTTACAGGACACTATATTGCCGACCCTCCACCACATTACCAAGAAGTATACAGGCAAGGTTACGACGACATTTGACCGCCTGCATGCTCACGATTGGTACATTTCGTCGAAGGAGATGTGGTCATGGTATGATCAGAAGGCCGAACAACTAAGGCTATGCGGCCATTGTTTGGACCATATGTAGTCAAAGCTAGACACGGTCAACGCTATGAGTTAGCGAACAAAGATGGTTCCGCCCCACCAGAATTCAAGGACAAACCGGTACGGGTGGAACTCCTCCGTTTAGTGCATAGACACACAGACCCACCAATCAACGAAGACTTATGGACCGAAGGAGGGGTTGAGTTTTGCCATATTATCACACACCGTACGAATGGTGAGACGGGGAAATTAAAATACCTGGTGAGATGGCGAGAAGGCAAACCAACGTGGGAAACAGCAGAAGCTTTTGATGATGCCAACGATATCGCGGCCTACCACAAACCTTCGCAGACACGGACACGTAAACGCCAACGCGCACAAATCTAATGATAACTCTTTGTCGACCATTCGGTCGAACGGTACGCTCGAACCGTGATCTTCGAGCCCTCTAGCTCTCAGAGGTTAAATGCCAGCACACTGCTCTAGCTCTCGGAGGATAACTGCCAGCACACTGCTCTAGCTCTCAGAGGATAAATGCCAGTACATAAGGTACTATGTTATTCTTATCATCTCTGAAACTGGCACACTGCTTTGTTGAGTGCTTCAGTTGGGGGGGGAGTTGTGGTCAGAATACAAGTACTTAGATTTTTTTTTGATTATTTTAGGTTTATTACAAGTTTTTACAGCTTATCAGAATAATCTGATAAACTGGGTTTTATGATTTTGCTGATTTTACAGCACATGACTAAAGACTCATTTTAAGAGACATTCATCTTAGGATTACTGTTTATAATTATTAATAAATGAACAACGTCCCCCTCCCTGAGGAGGGAGAACGTTGAGATACAGTTATCTAGCGTATACTTACTACACGAAGCAAGCCAACAATTCTTCACATTCTCGTGGAGAGGAGCGCAATACTCATTCAAGTCTGCGCCGTTTGGACTACACTCACTCACAGCACATTTCCAGAGAGTCATGGCAAATCTGCTCATAGATATCAAAGGAGTGTAAGTGTATGTATATGACATAGTCATTGCGAGTCTTACAGAAGAAGAACACCACAAGACAGTTCGTGAAGTAATCAAACGACTAAACAGCGCGAACTTCCGACTCAATCACAACAAGTGTGCCTTCGCGGTCAAAGTGGTCAACATTCTTGGGGTGAAAGTCATCACACAGGGCCTCTAAGCAGACCCCGAGAAACAGAAAAGAATGATGGACTGGCCACTACCCAGGACAAAAAGAAATCTGCACAAAGCAGTGGGACTAGCAAATTACATGCGAGACCATGTCCCCAACTTTGCCCATACAACGAAACACTTTCGGAACCTAATGAAAGGAAAAATGAACCAGAACATATCCATGTTATGGACACTGGAACTAATCAAGAAGTGGGAAGAACTCAAAGAAGGCATCGCCTGTTCATCGACGCTAGCATACCCTGTTGATGGGGTACCGTTTCAAATTATCAATGATGCTAGTGACTATGGCATAGGAGGGTGTTTATTTCAAGTCATTGATGGAGTCAGAAGAGACATTTTCTACTTCTCAAAAGGCTTGAATCCAGCACAACAACGCTATGGCACAAATACCAAAGAGCTACTAGCACTGGTATATAGCCTGGAACATTTCTCCGAATACATCAAAGGGGGGGGGACATAACACTGTGGACAGATCACAAAGTGCTCACGCAAATGAACAGTCAACAGACGTTACACCCAATGCTAGCCAAGTGGATAGCAAAAACGTTCCACCACCACTTCTCCATCATACATGTCCCAGAAAAGTATTACAGCAGGCGAATGAGGCAACACATAATAGCCAAGAGCACACCACCTTGGAAACGAACATGCCCATAACCATCTCGGCTATAGACTGGATGTTACATCCCAGATTCTACCAAGAAACGGAACGAAGATTTGGGAAGTTCACAGTATATCTGTTTGCATCGGCACACAATGCGCACACAAATAAATACTACACCAAAGAACAGAATGCGCTAAAACAAAAATGGGCGCAAGAAGTTAATGCACGGGTGAATCCACCATGGGAACTCATACCTGATATCCTTGACAAAGTCATTGAAGAGGCAACCAGCATCACGATATGTGTACCATACTACCCCAAAGTTCTTGTCCTTACTAGAAGAAGACCCGATACTAGTGGAAAACACTAACAACACGTTCCTCAAAGAGGGCAAGAAGGCTTGCGGCAAGACCCCATGGGGTGTCACATTAGTCGCAAAGATAGGAGCTAAGTCTCCATACTTCGACTCAACGCGAGAACAACTTGCTATACACGTTGCAGTGTCGGAACCAGTTCACTCTGGAGATGCACCACAGGCAACAGAATATGAGACACGTGTCAGCTTCAATGAGCAATACCACAACTTGGGACATTACACTTCTGAGGAAACAATACACAAGTTACAAACAGATGGACATGATTGGGCTGATATACAACAACATGTACACAAGTTCATTGACGGATGTATACCATGTCTCAAAAATAAAATACACAAGAAGGGATTTCACCCCTTACAATCAATTACAGCCGCGTATCCAAGCGACAGAGTCCAAGTGGATACCATAGGGTTACTTTTGGATTCCAATAGAGGACACACATACGTGTTAGTATACCTTGACGTATACTCATCATAACTCCATACTCTACACACAGGCCTCCATTCAAGGTGATAATCCCAGGAGTTTCTACTGCAATGGACAGATGGGAAGCGTACATGGAAGCATGAATCAGAAATCGGATATGCTGATGTTCTAACACTATACAGTCAACGCACTTGACCCAAACGAAGGCAATCAAGGCCGACGAAATCAACAGCAACGAGCACTGATGTAAGATTAGCGAGCAACAGAAGGTGCACAAGGCGGACGTAGCCAAGTTTCACTGATACCAAGGTCACTCCCACTTTTCTCATCTGGAAGCATGCTCCGCCCGAAAGCCAGAGGGATAAGGACAAAGACTGAGTTTTAGAGCCACCGTTTTCTAAATCAAGTTGAGATCAACCGAGAGCACAGGTCAAGACTAACTACGTGGGTAAGAACTCCCGTCATAGTACAATTAATGAATAATGTATGTAAGCATAAATAATGGAGACAAGTTTTCATCTTTACCCCCTTAAGGACAAGTCATTTTTCCCTGTACAAAAAACACCAAGCACTAGGTAATTTAGTACTATAAGATGCCACTTTCTACTTCTACGAGGCTAGAAGCACAAATTTGGGGGGCTGTAACATCTAAGGACCATATTATCGTCGATTTTAAACGCAAAACCACAGAATCATCAAATACTGTTGAGTTTTAAAATTAGAATTCAAATATTCCTGATAATAGTCATCAGAAATATTAGCGGTAGAACCGATAAGCTGTACCGGGACTCCGCGTGGGAGAGAAACGCTCAAGTAGAAACCTGAGTCTAGTGAATCAGAAGATATAAATAAAGGCTCAGTTCGGTTCTCTCAGACTTTGGACTTTTCCTAGCTGAGATAACTGTACTTGAGAAGAGGTCTATTGTATCCTTTGAGTCTCAGCTAATCTCTGCACTCTACAACCACCCAACCCAGTGAGGATCAAAACCTTGCCCACACTGCAGCGTGTACCCTTCACCATATGCGTTCAGCAAGTGCCATAAGAAGGGAGAAAGCAACCTCCAGAAAGCAGCAGCTCGTACAGCGCAGCAATCTGAACCCGTACGTCATGTAGACCAGCTATGCCATTACTATGCCACAACGCAGAAGGGAGCTGTCCCCCAGCATCCACGCCACAGTCGACACTCGACACTCGACACCGCTTCTGAAAGCATTTTTTTCAGTAAATTTACCTGCGACATTGTGATGCCTGTCCCCGTACAAAAGATTATCCACGCCCTGTCGTGAAGCCTGCCACTATACATGAGATCGTCTACTCTTCAGGAAGTCAACGTTTTCGGCAATTTCATCCAGTCAACAGTCCCAACGAGTCAACGTTTTCATCAATTTTCATCGAGTCTATCCTCAACAGCTCCAATTCGTCAACGTTTTCGACAAATATTCATCTGTTTGTTCAACGTTTTCGCCCAACCCATCTACAGAAGTGTCAGAGTCAAAAATTTCACGATCTAGGTCTTCAGCCTTCAGCCTTTAGCCTTCAGCCCTTGATTGTAAAATTGAGGGGGAGTGAGAAACTACATAATTTTTTTTTAATACTTAGAAAATGTTGCACTTTTGCATTTTTACACACACGTTTATTACATCGATCTTTATTGTTGTTGTTCATGTTGTAGCACTTTTGTCAATTGCTTGTCCTTTCTGATCTCACGTATTAGGCCCGCAATGCTTAGAGTTTCACCAAATGCATGATAGAGCTTCTCAATCGACAAATCTATCGAATTACCGCGGGCGTTGAGCCTCTCCATTGCCCTCCAGAAAGTTAGTCGAAAGCTATAAACTCCCTTTACACTACCTCTCTCTGCACGCGTAAAAAGACTCGCCGGTTTGTTTCCATTTATACCTCTCTCGTACTCGTCCCAGAGTATTCTGAGCGATTTCGGACCGTCTATCAACTCTGCGGGACGATTATCGCTGTTGTTACTGTTGCTGCTTTCACCATTGTTGTGTGTGCTCTCACTATTTGCATTATCGTTGTTGTTTGGCTGGTTTCCGCTAGTAGCAATTTGTCTTGCACGGAAATTCATGGTGTTGAACTGGCTCATCAGCACACGCCGTGTGCGCTTGAGCTCCGCCCTCAGCTGCTGAATTCGTGCGCAACCTTTTGCTTCGGAAGTCTGTAACATTTGTTTTAAATTTATAACTTCTGCCATCAAGGATATAATTTGATTTTGTAATTCTGTAACATTGGTAGCATTAGGATTAGCATTGGAACTGATGCCTTCTACCTCCTGAGCACAGAAATCGTCAGCACCTGCAGTGATGGTGACAACTGGCACACGTAAAACAACCTTCCGTATTTCGTCATCTGATATATTTGGACTGATATTCTTGATCAGGGTGATACAATGTTCATGAAAAGTATCATGGACGAGAATACTTCTATCAAGACCCAGCTACAACGCTACTGTAGCTATTATTCTTTTGTGGTGCGCGTGCAAAAAAGGAAGATCGTATAGACCTTCAACAACTGTACTCAAAACTTCAGTGGTAACAATAGCACTAAAATCATTGCTAACACGATACTTACAGGCCCCACGCGGTCCACAAAGAATTTCAGACACTCTCGCATCAGGGAACGGCATAAGATCACTTGAATAGGTATCCACTTGTCTAGTCCCTCGTATTTGACTTCCGCCCATCTTACTCTTTGCCCATCTACCTCGAGCCTCCGCATGATCTTTTGTGAGTCCTCGTCGCTGTATATATGTTGCACTACATTTACGCATACTATGCGTACCAAGTTCATTTATCTCTCCTTTGGCCTTAAACTCGGGTAAAGAGATAATCTTTTTGATTCTACTGCGTGACACATCGGTTCTTAATTTCTCGTCTCGACCAGTCGATCCATTGGATGTGAACATATAGCCGAGATCTAAGTTGCTAAATGTTGAACGACCACGAAGTCGATCAATGATATGTGCTGTGAGTGCTGATAGTGCACAAATATATGGGTCTAGAGATCCAAGAACAACTTGTCTACTCACTTGCGATTTCTTAGCAATGTTTTTGCTCCTAGCTATCTCAAGAAAAACCTCATCAGGATGGTCTTCGTTGTATTTTAGATTACTGTATGTGATATTCGTCGCATCATCTACACGACATATCAACTGGAAAGTCCATGTCCATAAACCATGTAGCCCGCTATCCTGGAAAGCAGTATTTTCGATGTTGATCGTTAGAATAGACATAATCTCATCGAACTTTAGGGGTCGTTTGGATAAGTCCGCATTTCTTTCACCTCTTGTCTCAAAACGTTCGATCGCTTTGAGCAAGTCATTTACCTGTCCAGAACGAGTTGGATTCCCTTTCATTTCCACTGGATCCCACTCCAAGCGTTTACGTGGCATAAATTTAGATATCGATTTTTTTTATGAACTCTAAGCCAGCTTTCCTACGTTGTGAAGGGTAGTCTTCTGGTCCTGCATCTTCCGTCCCATAGGCCAACTTATTGAAGTAGTCACAAATATCTGATGGCAAGATGTCTATTAACTCAGAATATAGTATCATTTGCGTGTCAGGATACTCTTCGTCCCAGTTTTTTTTTCTGGCCTCCAATACTCCAAAAACCGTCTCATGTTCTTGACATATTCTACCATAACCTTAGCCTGCACCATCTTTATGTGAACTAGTATGCTATACTTATGAACAATACATGCACTTAGTGTGATTTTTGTTTAATTTTTAATTTTTACTATCTTGCAGCTTCACACGGTGTTAAATGTGTATACGACCTTTGCGAAAATGTTGTTTTTTTCACGCGGGATTTACGCCAAAGGAATTTCAGGGATTTCAAAAGGTCAAACAGGGTTGTACAAAACGCTACATTTGTACTACCTACTGTATGACTTATGAATTGATGAAAGCTGAAAAATATATTCTTGGAGTAAAAAACACCTTTGCAATTTGAGTCAATTTGTTAAAGTAGTTGCAAAGTTATGTAATGAAAAGTAGTACAGCCTATCGGATCCAACGAATCGTCATTATACCATCGCGGAGTATGACCATGGTCGTACAACCGATATAATACAGTAGTAGACGTATTTCTATTTACGTTAATAACGTTTCACGTCGTCAGCCCGAGAGTAATTTGGGACTTGTTCTCAAATTAATATAAGTAAAGGTGGGTCAGCCCGAGAGAACGTAAGAGTAATTTGAGACTTCTTCTCAGATCATTCTAATTATAGAATACGGGCCACCGGCTAGCCGAGAGCCGAGGTCCGAGACTGAGTGTAATAACAGAGAATATGATATATTTATTTCTGGAAAATATATCCGAGTGCTAAAGTGTTCTGAATAAGGTTTCTCATATCGATCATGTGAGTTTTTACCCTGACCAACCCAAGTGGTTGAACACTAGTACAAACACCATCCTGATATAACTGAGGGTGATATCATAAAAAAATTCATTCGAATGCACCATACTTTACATACACTAGCACTTTATTATTAGTCCCCACACTGCACTCTAACACCATAGGCAACAAGATACAGGAGATGGATGAAGAAATGTGACATGCTTGGTGGACGGAAGCTAATATGGTAAATATGGTATACATTGTGAATGCACACACTGATGGAGAAACGTTGTTAATAAACGTAAATGATATTCTTACGCACCTTATTTTGTTCTTTATCTCCTAGCCTATTCCACGGCACTACACGGTGCAGACCCGATCCGTACCACAGAGATGGGTACGCTACTTCTTAGTAGGTCAGCAAGCGAATACATGGCAAACTCGATGGTGTCAGTGTTGTGTGAGCACCGGCCTAAATTAACCCAGCGCATATCTTTCATCGTCGACTCACTTGGCCCAAGCTTCAAACGGGAATTTACTGACCACTTCTTTCCATCGATCTTTCCCGAACCACTACAACGGCTATGAGAGCCTTACCATACACACATCGTAACTTATCGCGTCTAAATTTTTTTATTTTATCCCTAACCTATGAGACCAAAGCAATGCACTGGAAGATTCAGGAGCATAATGTCCATGCATGGATCACAGCGTAGTGAATGAAATTTACTCGTCAGTAAAGGCACAACCCGGCTATATTCAACTAGCACAATCTGATGTAAGAGTTTAGCGTACAGACTCGACAGAAATATGCGAAATAAACTGTGGCGGAGAAAACCGTCAAACTCTCGACCTCCCCAACAAGAAGTCACCCATACTTTTAGGTATGGATATTATACCATACTGACATATATTTAGCAGGGATAATTAACCCACTTATACCAACGGATACAAATTGGAATCACTTCTTACACCCCATTAATTAGACCTCGAACATGTACAAGAAGATTTTGTAATAGCCGTGCCTCCACGTTAGAATCTTGTTTATAAACTTACTCTTAAAAGTACGTAAACTTAGTTTTCTTTAATGACTTTTTAACAGTTTTATCAATTAAATACCTTTTTCATTTTACATATCAGATATATGGACACGGCCATTTGAAAAAGGCCTGACTAAAATGCCAAAGATATGGGTTGAAACATAATTGTATACAACAGAGGACGGAGACTCTGTTGATATTGATATGCATAGCCATCTGAAAATTTGTTTTATTTTCAGAAGGCTATGTGATATGATGGTATTATTATTTTCCATAACGATATATTTTCCACCAGAATATTGGGATGTAATACTTTAGGTGTCTCATGTAAAATTGGCACTTGATGACTCATGTTACATTTTCTAATACTCTCAGCGCGAGACAACCCACTGATAAATGGGATATGAAAATGATTCCCCCTAGCCAGCCAACTAGAGGTACCCGTCTAAGTCTTCAATGAGATGGAGAGCTCTTTATTGTATTATACTATCAATAATGTGATACAAGTAACAAGTAACAATAACAAGTAAGTAGCGCGCATCATGTATTGACAGCGTACTTATTTAGCTAGTTGAATGTTTGTACCAGTATATGGGTCCTCGCCATAGCTGTCTTCGAGAGTAAGAGATAATGCTAGTGCAGGGGTCATCGGTGCAGTCATAGTCATATTGTAAGAGTGTGCTACACATATTGTGTGCGTTTATTTGTTGTGGTCGTACTATGTATGTATTATTCTGTTTTATTCACAAGTATGAGACTATGAGTCATGCCAACATGTCGCTTGACAACGGTTTTAAAATTAGTAGAATTGCCCATTAAGACCCGGTTATTATAGCGCGATGGTCCTACCGTAGTGCACTATATCTAAGGAATTGTTATAAGTTGTTAAAGATAAATTGTTAGAGTGCAATGTAGAGACTTAATAAAGTGCAAATGTATATATTTATTTCTGACTTCACCTTTGGTTTTATACCTAAGGTGTTTGTGCTAGTGTTCAGCAGCTTGGGCTGGCCAGGGTAAAAACTCATATGGTCAGTATGAGATGTAGTAAAAGTCCCCTTAAACCACTATCAGTGTGGAGTTAGAATTAGTTTACAATTAATTCACACGAGGTGAATTATTTGTAGACCAAGTAGACAATCAAATATAAGAATAAATACACCGCACTGAGCCTCAGGAGGACTCAGTAGGTTTTAGTATCGTATTTTGATGTGTTTACTACAGAGAAACAATATGCAGAACACTTTAACACTTCGATGCTTTTCTATTTCAACTTCTCTGCAGCTAAATATCACGCTGATCACATGATGCCTTTCCGCATAGGTTGTGACTCACATAGAACCGCAGCTACTATTAGAATGTTGCGGTTGACAGGCTTAATCCACTCTCGGGAATCGGTTGAGAAACCTAATCTGCTCTCGGAAGTCGGTTTAAGTAATAACTCAAACTCTTGAGACAAATTTAAGCAATTTGATTAGCTTTCGGGAGTGAGCTTACTCTGATGACTTAGCTCTTGGGAGTGAGCTAACTCTAATGACTTCCATAAATCAAAGATGGTTTCTTGCTGTAAAATCGGACCTGACCTGTAGTCTCTCACTCCCCCTCAATTTTACAATCAACAAAGGCTGAAGTTTGAAGGCTGAAAATTGGAAAATGAAGACTAATAAAGGCTGAAGACTTAAGACCTGGATTGTAAATTGTTGACTCTGTAGATGGATTGGGCGATAAGCGTTGAACCAATGTATATTTGTCGAAGACGTTAACGAATTGGTGCTGTTGAGTATTGTCTCGATGCAAATTGTTGATAATGATGACTTTTCTGAAGAGTAGACGATCTCCTGTACGGGCTTCACGACTGGCGTGGATAATCTTCTATTCGGGGACAGACATCACAGGTAAAAATACTCGAGATTTTCTTGGAAAATACATTTTGCTTACTGGATCGGTGTGGACTGTGGCGTGGATGCTGGGGGACAGCTCCCTTCTGTGTTGTGGCATATTGGGTTGACTTTGAGATGTGGCCTGAGAGGCTGAGACTTGGAGACTGGGAGGCTAAGATTTCCTCTTGGGTCTTGGAATGTGCGGCTCTTATGCTGCGGTCTGGCTGCTATCCTTAGTATGGTTGCTTTTTAAAAAAAAGTTGGATTTTTGATCGAATTGACCAACGAAATTCGTGTAGTGATAAATTCTACCCATCGAGGACAAAAATTCAGGCTCCAGTGGTAAAAAAAAACTATTGTTTTGTTTTTGTTTTTGTGTTAGTACTCACAATACATAGAGGGGGCGCTGATGGGAGGTGGAGACAATGTGAGGTTGTGGTCCCTGTAGGGCCTGTGGACTGCGAAATTCACAATTTTTTTTGTATCCTGCGAGTGAATTTCAATACAGATTGTCACAGGTATGCAACTTTTACGATATCACGCATAAAAGTTAAGAAGAACCAGTAAGTTATGATAAATTCTACCCATCGAGGACAAAAATTCAGGCTCCAGTGGTAAAAAAAAACTATTGTTTTGTTTTTGTTTTTGTGTTAGTACTCACAATACATAGAGGGGGCGCTGATGGGAGGTGGAGACAATGTGAGGTTGTGGTCCCTGTAGGGCCTGTGGACTGCGAAATTCACAATTTTGTTTGTATCCTGCGAGTGAATTTCAATACAGATTGTCACAGGTATGCAACTTTTACGATATCACGCATAAAAGTTAAGAAGAACCAGTAAGTTACTAACATTATGTGTATCGATGAATACAAATTGTCTGCGGGATTCAACTTTAACTTCAGAGTATTTTATGTCAAAACACAGTCGCACAAGTAAATAGTTGGGTGTCTAAGTAAATAGTTGGGTGTCTAAGTAAATAGTTGGGTGTCTATCGATAGGAACAATTATATGAACAAATATATAGTTATATATTGCGTGTACATTACTTATAATTTCATTTTTACATATAATACAAACAGTTTGTACACACTCCTTTTATAAGGTACGATACATCTGTATATTTTGCAGTCAGA